ATAGTATATAGTATAGTAGTGTAGAAGTGTAGATGGATAGGTATAAGCCTCTTACCCATTTCTGCCGCAAAATAGCAGTTCTCTTCTTCTATCATGGTATAACCCTCAGTTTTATAGAGAACCAGTAATTAATATTTTTAGTAAGTAGTTGTAGGCTGTGAGTCATTCCATCTTACTCCTCAGAGATCATAACGCTTTGTATCCTTCATTGTTTGTAGTTGGTTGCAGGTATCTATGAGCTGTGCACCTGATGGTGCACTTGATGGTAAAATAGCCACTTACCATCAGGTTCACTGAAAGGTGAAGTGGTCGAGTAAGACAATCCGCGGGTAGAGTTCCGTTCTAAGGACACCTCTGATTTGGACTAATTTTTTTTAATATTTGGTCCAAATTGGTTTAAATGATGAAAAACCCTAAAGGGATTTTTGATCATTTATGTTGGTAAACATGTAAAAAAAATTTGGTCCAAATACGGAGGTGTCCCTAGAACGGAACTATATCCCAATCCGCTACCCCGTATCATTCCATGGCTGTCGCAAGAAGCGACACAGGGAAATGAAACGGGATATGGGCGGCAGCATTTTCCTGATAACAAATTAAAACTGCGGTTGCCAACCCGCCTGCCAAGCATGGCAATTATGGAAAAAATCCGCCTTATGAGGCAATCTTTTGATGCATATTTTCAGCAGTGGACTTTGATAGGTTGTGATGATGATGGTGATTGACTGACATAAGTAAGTATTCTTTCTTAAATATTGTTGCATCGCCCATCGTTTTACCAATGATCAAAAAAGAGGGTACTTTTCATTCCACCAAACCAGAAATTAAATTCTGGGCTGACGCAGTGAAGTGTGAAGCAAGAAATTGATGAAAAACTACAATAGTAAAGAAAGACATCGCTGGATTGGGAGAATTGTGAGCTTGGGATCGGTTAAAGGATCTGCTTAAAAGGTTGGAGGTGCTCAACAAAGAACTAATTTTTACGACGATAAACGAAAAGTGTACCTGTTGACCTGAAAAGCGTAAAAAAGTGCGCCTTGAAAAGTTGGGATCAGTCGGCTCAAGTAATAATGACCGAGAGCACTGTTCGCAGTCTTATTAATCTTATTTTATAGAATAAGTGTGTTATTTCGCATAGACATACATCTATCTTCGATTATGAATCAAATTGCGTAGTCACTCCTTAGGAATAAGATGGATAGCTTCGCTTTCAGTAAAAAGGGTTTTTTTTTATTCACCATACGAAATACTATTTAACACTAGTATTCTGTGAGAGTGTGTTTCTTCCCCGGTCGAGCCGATCCATTCGTATAACAACTGCAACCATAATATAGCTGCAGTGTGGCTCTACCACGTGTCTAGCCTTCTTTTATTGAAAGGAATTATTGAAATTAATAAATATATCATCCTTAAATATCTTTACCTTGCCAATCATTCTTCCCACCGGAAAACAGAAGTTTAACTATTTAGGTATAATAAAATCTAATAAATTTTTAACTGTAATTTTAACTTATTACAATACACTAGATGACACTTAAGTGCCTATTAAATAAGAATCGGTTAAAGTGAATAAGAACTGAATAATGATTTTCTATCAGGATGACAACAGGTGTAACTTTTTTTTTATAGAATAAGGTTGACAAACGTGCACAAAGTCCACCTGATGGTAAATGAATACTGTAGCCCATATACATTTATGCTTAGTTTTACTAACAAGTTAGCTGTATACTTTCGATATAAAAGCAATCAATTCATAGAACGGGACTGTAATTAAAATAAACAATGTAAACCTCTCTAGTACTTCTAAGTCGGTCGTTTCAACTTTTAATCGAAGTTGTCGTTCATACTATGTGAACTCACTCACTCGCATCGCTTACGACGTGTCACAAAGGTCTTTAAAAATATTTATGGAGTTGAATTGCACTGGAGATTCAAAAGATTGAAATAACTTCAAGCTTTTCACCATGCTAAAAGAAACAATTTTTCACGGATTTTATCGTTTAAATTAACTTTTTAATTCCCGACGTTCCGGGAAGTCTGCAGTCTGTGAACATGTTGAAGATCGTCCCCGTCACTACATTACAAATTCCCGCAAAAGAACACCGATTCCTGCCAAGGATAATTTGCGAGGCAATTGAAATTAAAAAACACCCTAATTTCAATAGAGATGATGGGTGGGTGCTGTCTTCTGTTTGAGATTCTATAATTAATAATTTTTTTTATAGGATAAGGGTGACAAACGAGCACACAGTCCACCTGATGGTAAGTGGTTGCTGCGGCCCATAGACATCTACATCTATCCTCTGTTACAAATCAAAATGTAGATGCGTTGTCACCCGTGAGGACTCAGATGGAATGCCTCATTTCCAGTAAAAAGGGCCTCCGGCCACCTGCACTCACCAAGCGAAACGCAGAGGTAAACCTCTACTTCACGCTGGTATTCTGTGAGGTCGTGGTACCATCCCGGTTCGAGCCGGCCCATCCGTGCGACAACAAAAGCTGCCGTGTGGCTCTACCACTGTTGAAAATAATAAAATTAATTCCAAACCCAAGCATACCACTGCAAGACTTCAAGATACTGTAAGCTCATTCTGCGTAGATTGGACCAAAAATTAATTAATTAATTATTCAAAAATTGAAGGTAGCCGGGCTAACTATGATATCGGGACGTCAAACACCTCAGTCCCCCCGTGAATATGGATGCTGTAAAGCACCTGAAACGACTGGAATTAAAAACTCTAATTAAACGCGATAGAATCCGAAAAATTAGTTTCATTTAATGTGTAGTGTTCGCGTAAATATAAGAAATCATTGTTTTCACCATACTTTTAAAAAGAGTCTATCATGAAAGTGGAGTTATTTTTAATAGAATGAGGGTGACAAACGAGCACACAGTCCATCTTATAGTAAGTCTATACAGCAGCCCACAGACGTCTACATTTATCCTCGATTAAGAATCAAATAGCAGATGAGTTGTCACCGCTGAGGACTAACATGGAATGCCTCGTTTCCAGATAATTAAAAATTAAAAATGTTGTACAGCCGACTTCAATATAAATTATTAAGTATAACTCAATAACTATTGGTCTGTCCTTGATTCATATGGGACCACACGAGAAGTATCAGCTTTCAAATAAAAAAAGAATCATCGAAATCGATTCACCCAGTAAAAAGTTATGAGGTAACACACATAAAAAAACATACAGTCGAATTGAGTACCGTCTCCTTTATGGAAGTCGGCAGAAAAAGGTCTTTAGCTCTCTACACTCACCATACAAAACACTGCAGCATTAAACTACTATTTTACGGTGGTATCCTGTGAAATCGTGGCCCTACCTCGGTCGAGCTGATCCATTTGTCCTACAACTTAATAAAGCTGCAACGTGACTCTACTATTTATAGATTTCTACGTTATTTAGGTCTATTCATAAGAATTCGAAGCATCTTTTCATTGTCTTATTGTTATAAATTTGAAATTCTTTTGGTTAGAATTACTAAATATTTAATTAGCCTCTACAATTACAATTTATTTTGGGTACCTATATATAAACACAGTTATAACGAATTACCAAAACGTAAAAGCTAGTTCGTAAAATCTAGTTCTATATAAAACTTTTAGGACTCAGACTCCTGTTTTTAGTTCTCTATTTCTAGCACAATGTTTATTACTTCAACGTAGATTCCACGCTGAGTAACGCAGCTGCATTCTAAAATCAAAGATTACATTGGAGCAGAAAGGCATTTTGGTGCATTTAGAAAACTTTAGTATTTAATCTGTTTTTTAATTGAAATAAATATTTTCGATTACTTATTTGAAAAAATGGAGAGAATTATTCATAATCAATATTCTGTTAAAAAGCTACTGGTAGACAATTTAGTATCGGACCAGTAAATTGAAAATTTAACATTAGTTTTCGTTTGCAATTTATTAAGTATCGGATACTGAAACGTGGTCCTTCACTGCTGGCCGGATGAGGAAGCTCAAGGTCGCTCAGCGAGCTATGGAGAGGGCTATGCTCGGAGTTTCTCTGCGTGATAAACTCAGAAATGAGGATATCCGCAGTAGAACTAGAGTGACCGACATAGCCCAACGGATTAGTAAGCTGAAGTGGCAATGGGCCGGCCATATAGCTCGAAGAACCGACAACCGATGGGGAAGAAAGGTTCTCGAGTGGCAGCCTCGTACCGGCAGGCGAAGTGTAGGGCGTCCCCCCACTAGATGGAGTGACGACCTGGTAAGATATGCAGGAAGTCGATGGATGCAGGTGGCTCAGGACCGTGCTTTGTGGCATTCTTTGGGGGAGGCCTATGTTCAGCAGTGGACTTTTGAAGGGCTGTAATGATGATGATGATGATACTCTTTAATTTATTTTACGTTACTTTAAAAATATTTTAACATTTTTCGCACAAAATCATGAAAAAGAAGGCGGACTTAATGTAACATTTGATATATGACATTCATCTTTGTAGGCCGCATAAAACATTTTAACTTTAAATACGTCTTTTATGGCGACAAACTGCGAATCCAGAACATGTGTTTACCACAAGCGTTGCATGTGTTTTCTATATTATTTTTACAAATAAATTGCACGGTATATAATCGTATACCGGGTTCAAACGTCGTGTAGTTCTGTTTCGGTTGCTTCTAAATTAAGATCGACCTCGCATCACGATGCGTGCGCGCACATCAGACCGCCGCACAACAAAAATCAAACGTAGTACATATTATATTTTTTCAACGAATTTTTCGAACGTATCGCTGGCGAATTGGCCACAATTTTTGAATTTACCGCAATTTTTTAACGGATAGCATGGTAAGTTGGTTTTTTGGCTTTTCATAGCGCTTATTAATAGATCGAAATGATCTTGGTAACACACTGAATGAAAATGACGATTGTGTAATGTAATATGTTGTTTCGAATGTATACTAATTGACGTACATTTAATTCCAGTTTGTGAAGTGAACTGTGTGATTTTTAAAGTGGAGTACAAGATACAAAATGAAGTTTTCGATTGACGTATTGGGTGTGTTCCTCAAAGTAGTTGTTAAGGTAAGCTTTGTGACAATCAAGACCTATTCTTGTCTTCAGCTAAATTTCTTGGTCTAGATTGAATCCATTAGTTCATAAATTAGATCACGATCGGTATTACGTAATGTTTGTTTATTGATTGAGGAGTATTAATGAAAAAATGATCATAGAGTTTTCTTTTAATTCCTCAAGGCGAGTTTTTTATGTTTATAACTATGTCGATGGGCTTAAATAGCTCATCTCATCTGTTTGCATTAAGTATGCCTTCTCATTCATGATTTTGTTCGAAAAATATTGAAGTATATATTTAAAACTAACGTTAGCCTAATCACGTGCAATTGTAAGAGTTTAAACGTACGAAATTATTTTAAAACCAGGGCATAGCTTGAACTCATAAAATTTTCTAATTTTCTAATTTCTTTCGGCGATAATAAATTGTCTTCTAGTAGCTCTTTAACAGAATGTCGGTTATAAATAATTGCCTAACGGGCAATTTTAATACTGTTCGTATTAAATTATTGTATTATTTTCTTTACATAAATTATTTGAAATAACATTTCATATAATATTACACTTAATACGAATCAAATGAAATCATATTCTTTGTAGCATGATCCACCATAAACTCCTGTTATAGGGTTCTGCAAATGGAACACTCATATAATAGAGGTAATAGGTGCACAGATAACCGGAGACGCAGTTATTTGTGCGTGAAACTACACGAACATAACACATAGTCCTAATGGCTGACGACGCAGCTATTTATTAATCCTTAATCCGGAATAGATTTAGGGATCTAAGAACAACTGTGATCGCGTGCTATACATTACTCTGTGGACTTATTATTCGTATACGCCCACTGTCAAAAGAAAAGGTCAGCTATCAGATGTTCAGGTTACCTCAACTGCTTTCTTACGCTGTAGCGCATTATCACGAATCGGCTCGACGCGGCAAGTAGCAGGCTCGCACAAAATAAAAGTAAAACAACACAATGTTTCGAGTGGTGAGTGTAGATTGAAAAAGTTTGAATTCCACAGATGTTCAGGCTTCCTGTGATAAATCGGTTGGTCTCACTTTGATAAAACATAAAAGGAAGAGTTTTCAAGCCGAATTTAGACAAGCAAATTATAGGCTTGTTAACATAAAGCAATTAGATCGCTTCAAAGGCGCAAAGCTGAACCGACATCGAGAAGTTTGTGACCACGCATACTAACGATAGGGAAACAACCCGTAAGGTCTGGTTGTGACGCTCACTGAAATTTTATTAGCTCTTTCCTTATTAAGAACAATAATAAAAGATGTTTACAATATTTATATATCTACTGTTCGTTTATAACGCAACTGTACTAAATACTGCCAGCGGTTCTAAATGGAAACAGGAACACCTTTTTACGTGGTAGAGTAATGCTATAGCTTCTCTAGCTAATGGTTGTAGTACCAATAAATCGGCTCAATCAAGGAAGGATAACGCTCTCATTGTGTTTCGTCTGGTGAGTGTAAGGCACCGAAAACCATTTTTACTGGAAACGAGGCATTCCATGCTATTTCTCAGGGTCTACATCTGCATTTTGATTCTTAGTTGAGAATAGATTTATCAAGTATGTGCTCCTTTGTCACCCTTATTCTAAAAACAACCTTTCATTCAATTATTAATTATTCATTCAATTACAATTTTTATTTTCCCGTGGTAAAGAATATCCCATGGCCATGCGTTTTATCCAAATTGTCTGTGTGCCGAATTTCATTCAAATATGAATAACAAACATACAAACAATCTGACATATTATTGGCAAATGTTCTAAAATTTTGAAATCTATAATGTTAAATTCTCGTATGGTGGTGATTCATCCCCTATTTCATCCTATCGGTGTCGTAAGAGTGCGACGTTGGAAAACCTCAGAAAGATCTCATGGTTTCCGATAATGTCAGCATAACCATCTCGCTTAGCCAGCGCCAGACTTAGCTTCATTGTTTCAACTACGCAAATGGATTCAAAGTCGCTAAGTGTAGCACGGGCTTTGCGTATGTGCGCAAAGTTTGTACACACATTTGCAATTTGCTATCCAGTGTTGGTTTTTCAACGCACATTAAAGTAAACAAAGTTCAAAGTTCGAGCGGTCTGCGACACTTATTTCATAATTTGCAAAGCTTAGTAATTTACACATATTATGGTAATAGTAACGAGTGTGTAGCTGATCGGAACAGTAGTGAGTGTCAACAATAGAGATAATGGTGCTGTTATGTAATTGTATATTTCATTCTATGTTATATGTTATATTTCTGACTGTGTAACGGCTGTGTAAGAATATCTACCACCCTATATAATCCTGTGGGTATCGTAGGAGGCGACAGAAGGAAACAAACCAGAAGATGGGCTGAAGCATCTTCCACATAACAAATAAAAAATAAGATACTGCGGTTACTAATCCCCATGGCAACTATGGCAAATATGAGGCAATCTATGTGGGAGGTCTATGTTCAGTAGTGGAATTTACATAGGCTGTTACGGTAACGGTAACGGTATATTTATTTATATTCTATAATCTTTTATATTAGTATAAATATATTCTATAATATAAAAGATTATACTATTTTCTTGAAATATTATTATTATTATATGTTATCAATCCTGGCTGGGTAGGATTTGTTAATGTGGTTTAGATTTAATATGCTCAAAGGCCATTGAATTTATCAATTTTTCGATTATTTTTTATCGTCTAGTTTTACAGATATATAAATGAAAATTTTAATCACAATCAGTTTTGCTATTCCGGAGATTAGCTCGAGAGACGGACGGACAAAAATTTGATAATGATATATTTTTTTAATGGTTTGTGGTAATGATAATGGTTATTTAGATCTTAGTTGCATGCAAATAACACCCTGAGCTTTTTTTTCTCTGTTGCGGTTCTACCCATAGTTCTCACCACACTACCAAAGGTTAGCTGGCAGAGAATGCCTTTTTGGCATTAAGTTCGCTTTTGTACCCAATGTTGGTTTGAGTGCAATAAATAATTTTTTATCTATCTATTTATCTATCTAAGGTTAATAGAAGCCAGTTATTTCAATATTACGGACAGTCATTTCAATTTTATTTATATGCATAGATTATATATTCTATTGTATAAATATATTGACCATCTGAAGATTCTTTACGCATAGTCGTTAATATAAAATTTGTTCAGTGATCATAGAAATAGAAAATATGAAATGATATGATATGAAATGAAAACTGTTTTTTCTGTACTTTTTACTTTAGAACAGAATTGATTTAAAAAAATTAACAATTTAACAAAAACCGGCTCCCGGCTCAGGTACCTTCACAAACGCCTTCTTAAATATTTAAAATTATTTAACTTCAAATAATAAAAGAAAAATCAATTAAAATTTCAGCCTATATACAACGCACTCCTAGGTGCAGGTCACCCTTTTATTTCTGATAGGTTTTAGAGAAAAGGAATGTCTGCCGCGATAACCTAATGCATGTTGGGTGACTGAAATATTTTTAATTACTCAGACATGAAGATTTCCTCACGAGTTCTTCCTTCATCACCAAGTACGTTGTAAATTTTATCTGCATACTACTTATATAGCTGCATCTTGGCTCTACCACGTAGTTGATGAATATCGTATGGATTCCAATTTAAAAGGTTCGGTAACTAAACAAGGCAAATTTGCAGTGTTCCAATCATCCACTTCCATAGCTTCTATATAAGAAAATCGTTTTATTTGAATCTCTTTAATATATTACAAATAAAAATAAAAAGGAACTTTTATTATACATAGTTATTTTGCAATAACCGGCCAATTTTGCAGAGATGGTTCATAATAAGTAATATAGGCAAATGGTGAAGAAAAATTAATTAAAAAAAGTCTCAAACATTCCATCCTTTTTCTCTTTTAAATTCAAAATTCATGGTAATGTTTTTAAATAAAACTAATTTTACGGATTTTATCGCGTATATTAATCTATTTTTATATTCCCGACGTTTCGGGTGCTTTCCAGCACCCGTGGTCACGGGGGACTGAGGTGTTTGACGTCCTGCTGTCATAGTTAGCCCGGCTACCTTCAGTTTTTTAATATTAATTTTTGGTCCGATTTACGCAGAATGAGCTTACAGTATCTTGAAGTCTAGCAGTGGTATACTTGGGTTTGGATTTGATTTTATTAATTATGGGATCCCAAATTTGATATTTGAAAGGGGCGAAGAGAGAACGAAGTGTGAAATATGGGTAAATCAGGAATGTCTAGAACAGGTAAATGAAATTGTATACTTGGGGAGTGCTTTTAGCCGGGATGGAAGATGTGATTTAGATGTGGACAGGCGTGTCGCTGCCGGGAACAAAGTCAATGGTGCCCTGACTGCGTTAGTCAAAAGGCAAGGCGTAGCGAAGAGTGCACGCCTTGCAATACATAACGCAGTGTTGGTACCGACTTTGTTATATGGCAGCGAAACCTGGGTATGCCAGAAGAAGCATAAAAGTAAGTTGAATGCAGTGGAGATGCGATCTCTTCGTAAAATGTGCGGCGTTACTATGGCCGACCGAAAGCGAAACGAAGAGATTCGCAATATGGCAGGTTTGAAAGATGACCTTATCACAAAAATTGATAAGGGCGTGCTTCGGTGGTTTGGGCACGTTGAGCGAATGAGTGAAGACCGAATGGTGAAGAAAATATATAGCGCGAAAGTTAATATTAAAAGGTGTCGAGGTAGACCGAGACTAACTTTCGAAGACCATGTGAGCAAATTGCTCGAAGAGGGTAGGGTCAAGAGTACTCGGATACCTAGACGTGCATGTATGAAGAAGATAATGAATCTGAAAGAAGCGAAAGAGATATGTAAGGATCGTGACACTTGGCGATCTGTTCTCTCTGGCTACCCCGTCAGGGATTGTGCGTGAAGATAAGTAAGTAAGTATGGGATCCCAAGCAGATGGCAGCACCCATCCATCTTCTCTATTGAAACTAGGATTTTTTTTAATTTCAATAGCCTCGCGAATCATCCTTGGGAGGAATCGGT